TTTACATTGTTTAAGTTGTCCTAAAGTTACTTGAATAAAGTAAACTTGAATAATTAGAACGATAATTCATGTCAATGAATCAAAATCTGCTGGAAAGACAATTTTCTGTGGAAAGATAAGCCACACGTGTTCAACATCAATGACCAATCAACATACTCTACCAATCTGATAAATGTAAATTGCATCGCTTGCAAGATGTCGCAACTATCACAGAATACACAGATCGATGCCGGTTAGAAGTATTCTAATTTAAATTTGATCGCAGAATTTAAGGCGTGTATACTTTTACAATATCCGAACAGTCCCTGGGGTTCTGGATTAACTCCGAGTCCAATTATGTTCTCAATTTTCCGCCTGGCTAGTAGCAACAACAAATAAACCCCCAATCGCTCGTAAAACTGCTGTCTTTTTTTTTATACGCTCATGTCCAAAGATTAAACCTCAAGATTATACTCGCTGTTTTTATTCGGAGCCATATATACATGTATGTATGACTGGGACACACGACCGAATCTGTTGGGAAATAAAAGTTTATTGTGCGTGGCGAACAAGACTTTTATATTCTGTGTCATTTGTTTACGGTTTTATGATGCATTTTTCGTAAATATTTCGGAGAAACAAAATGTTTTAAGGGAGGGTTGTCTTTGAAGTCAAAAAAAAAAGATCCGTTGACGATATGGCCAAAATTGAATGCTATCTGGAAAACCCTCATTTGTAAGCTTACGCACGCAGTCTGAGGGGGAACGCTTTAAGAAAACAAACCCCGCTTTATATCTGACACAAAGGAAAAAGACCTTTTTAACCTAGATAGTAGACATTCTTTAGCTGGCGTGCTTGAGAAATCTTAAATAACTCAACTGAGTTTAAAACAATATACAAAAATATTGAAAATCTCCAATATAATATTGGCTATTTTTCCAAGTCGGACTAGGATAAAGGTTTCTATGGATTACATATAAATTCGGTTTTGTTTTCTTAAAGCTCTCCCTTTAGAGTTCATATAAGTGAACGTGCCTCGGCTGGGGAATAAGTTGATGGCCTCTCCGGATTCCTTTAACCGGAAAATATTTCTTTTTTATTATTTAAAAGGAAAGCTAGCAAATGATGGCTTTGTGTGTGATTGTATTTTTGTCTGTAATACGTGTGGGATGGAAGACAATACAAAACCTTCACAAAATGTCGATATAAAAGAAAGTACAGTCTTTCTGTATCAAAGCCACTGTCATTCTAGGAGTGGTTTCGATGAAATGGGCACACGAAAAAAGTTCGGATCGAGCAAACACTTTTATTTAAGTGTCACCGAGTCTGAACTGAGAGACTGGACAAAGCTTGGACGATAGCATTATTTATACAGATGTATTAGAACTATATAAGTATTGGTTTTTCTCAAACAATGCAACCATCTTTCATTTTGATCTTGGTCTGGTAGTGTCACATCATTTTGATCTTGATCTGTCAGAGCTGGCAGTGTCACATCTCCCCCACTCTTCCCTTGGCTAAATGACGAATTGATGCAGTAAATTTTCTTCCATTTGATAGGCGTATATGAGCATAATCTGAATTTGCTTCCAGAAGATCAGCTTCTTCTATTAGTAGATATTTGCTATGTCTCATATATTTCTTGAGAAAAACTGGTCCTGGGGTGCTCAACCATGTAGGCATTAAGATTCCACATGCGTTCATAAGGTGTAGAATAAGTTCCAGTACACAAGAGAGATCTTTTAGTGAATGTAGAGAATCTAATAATACATCTAGCCATTGTTTTACGTCGGGATTTCTAGATTTAATCTCAAGTTAAATAGTCTTCCAAATTGTTCCATTGAATCTTTCACATTGTCCATTTCCCTATGGATTGTACCCAGTTGTACGACAATACTATGACTTGTTAAAAATAATTTCACATCAACGGATAGAAAAGTTGCTCCTCTATCTACTGCTATAAGCAATCCAATTGGTCCTTGCGAAAGTACTGCACCAATTGCGTACTCTGAAGCATCAGTTGTTAATACAAATGGTTTTTCAAAATCGGGAAATTGAAGTATTGGATCATTGGTTAAAAGGTTGAAAGCTGTGATGAATGCTTTGTCATGAATCACTTTGACATTTTTCTTTAAACAATTTGTTGAAGGTTTTGTGATTTTTGCTAAATTCTCTATAACAACCTACGAGGCCAAGAAATGATTTAATATCTTTCGGGGTTTTAGGTATTCTAAAATTTTTGACTGCCTCTATTTTTCGAGGATTTGGTTTGACACCTTTTGGAGTTATGATGTGTCCTAGAAATTTGACACTTTTCTGTAAAAATTCAGATTTGTCTAACTGTATTTTCATATTGAAAGATATTAATCTTTCGAATACTTGTTTTAAAGAGGTTATATGTTCTTGTAGGCTGGTTGAACAGATAATGATATCATCCATATATACTAGACAGACTTTTCCTACTAATCCTCGTAAAATATTATCTATTCCTCGTTGGAATGTAGCAGGAGCAGTTTTTAACCCGAAGGGCATACGTGTGCCAAACATTGAGAATAGTTGAGTCAAACAATTACAATGTATTACTGTTGTAGATGACATATCTGAACATGGAAATGCAAACAGAAATCTTTGAGTATTCATCTACAATGTCTAATAAATGTTTGTTAGCGTTGTTGGAAGGCAATGGTCTCTTATAGTCTATATTTAATCTTTCAAATGGTGCCATGGCTTTGATGAGAGTTTCTTTGTTTTTACAGAATTCAATTTTAAAGAATAAGGAAAAATTGCAAGTGAGTCATTGGAAAATGCAAAGGCTTTAGGGGACAATTTTGTTTGAATTGTCCACAAAATTCCATCGAGTATGGATAGTAGGTAAGTCAAATTCACTAAGTAGGTTAAAATCTTGTAGGCAATTCCACGATCCCTTGGGGTGGATATCACATAAGTACCTTAATCTGAATTTGTTTAGGATCATGATGTTTTTTTATTATTATTATTTTTATAAATGAAAATCAAGGAAACGCCACTTGAGAACTAGAGTCAGATCTAAGAGACTGTAACAAGCCAAAATTGCCTAACTAATTCTTACCTATTTTCAGTGTTCCATTCGAAATTCCTTTAAATTTGTTAACATTTTCTTTCCATAAAATTCCAAAAGAATTCTATCGATTAGTTTTTGACATTTGTCGTTATCCTGAATCATCTTTGAATCCCTACTTTTAGGTCAGCTATTTAAAAAAAAAAAGATAGATTCTTCAGGAGACCCTTTCTTCGAAGCAACCAGAACATGAAAGCAATGTGATGCACATCAAATTAATTAGCTGACCCAAAGGTAGGGATTCAGGATAACGACAAATGTCGAAAATTAATCGATTTTGGAATTTTATAGAAAGAAAATGTTAACAAATTTAAAGGAATTTTATAGAAAACTGAAAATAGGTAAGAATTAGTTAGGCAATTTTGGCTTGTTACAACTCCCCCTCTCCTACGATAGAAGGGAAAGTTCGAAAGAAACTTTTCCGACGATAATCTAAGCAAACTCGAACTAAGGTAATATAAAGAATGTGAAATATATGCATTTATAATTTAAACCTAAATGAATTCAAAATGACTATCAAGGTACAACAAAGGTAGATATTAAGGAAGATAGTTGTATCCCTCCAAAACGACCATCCACTTACTTTGAGTTGAAAAACACTCTGGAAATCTGGATCGAGGTCTATTCGAAATCCTGGAGTGAGTGACCTGTTCTTTACTCTACTCTTTAAGGCAGCTTTTCACTAATGATTAAATGGAAAAAGTCAAAATCTACTGTGGAAAAAAAAAAACGTGCAAAGCAAGACTTACCGAAATGGTGGTTTTCAAATCCGATAACATCGGCGAAAATTGTAGCACTTTACGAAAATTAAACGCAACGCAAGAAAACTCAGTGTGCCTAAATTCAATTAAGAAGAAAATTAGGTCCAAAATCCCTTTTTAAGGCGAAGAAAAAAAATTAGATTCTTCAGGAGACCCTTTCTTCGAAGCAACCAAAACGTGAAAGAAATGTGCTACACAACAAATTAATTAGCTGACCTAAAGGTAGGGATTCAAAGATGATTCAGGATAAGGACAAATGTCAAAAATTAATCGATAGATTTCTTTTGGAATTTTATAGAAAGAAAATGTTAACTTTTTTATAGGAATTTTGAATAGAAAACTGAAAATAGGTAAGAATTAGGCAATTTTGGCTTGTTACAACTCCCCCTCTCCTACGATAGAAGGGAAAGTTAGAAAGAAACTTTTCCGACGATAATCAAAACAAACTCGAGAACTAAGGTAATATAAAGAATGTAAAATATATGTATTTATAATTTAAACTTAAATGAATTCAAAATGACTATCAAGGTACAACACAGGTAGATATTAGGGAAGATAGTTGTATCCCTCCAGAACGAACATCCACTTACTTTGCCTTGAAAAATACTCTGGAAATCTGGATCGAGGTCTATTCGAAATCCTGGAGTGAGTGAGCTATTCTTTACTCTACTCTTTAGGGCAGCTTTTCACTAATGATTAAATGGAAAAAGTCAGAATCTACTGTGGAAAAAAACGTGCAAAGCAAGACTTGAAAAAAATATATAATGTACAAAGGAGAGCGATCTAATCGAAAACACAGGCCTTCATTGCAAGACAGATTAGATATATCTAATACACAGTTTCGGCTATCCGGGTCTCTCTTTTTTGCGGTCCTTCGTCTTTAACCCCCACTCGTGCACTAAGTCCAAAGTCCTAGCTGCTCGAAGGGGGAATAGTTTAGCAAGCATTGTACAAGCAAGAGAGAGAGCCACGTATTCACTGAATACTAGGAAGAGGAAAGAATGGGAGTGGAACAAGAGAGAGCGACGTATACACTCCATACGAAACGATAGAACTTTCACTCCTACCACGTGTACGGCGCTGTACATGATTTTTTACTTAGCTACTATGATAACAAATTCAAAGAGCCCAATTATTCCCCATATCTAATATAAGTTTCTTACCTATGTCTGATGATCCACCCCATGTTCCTTGTTGAGCTTGTTTGGCTAATTTACCGATGGCATCTACGTACATACGAGAAGCAGCAGCTGCACCTGAAACAAAATAATTTCCCATTATTTACTTAACCGATAAATAAAACCAAGTACCTAATTATCCCTCCATCCAACTCTCATTAAGCGTAATGCCCGACGTAAAAAAGCACGAACCCGTAAAAAATTACACGAAAATAACTCAAACTTGTCCCTACTAAATCGCCTCCCCACGCCCCTAATTGCAGCTTCTCCAGAAAATGGGACCGCGACGCGGGACTTAGCGAAGGAACGCACGAACGTCTCGTTTTATTTCCGGTCGCTTCGTAATTAAAGTGAAATTTTTCGGAATAAATGGCTCCGAGGACTTTCCGGTTACTTAAGTCGTCCGGAAGTTGGCGTTAGTTCTTATACCCTGCGGGGGTGGCTGAGACGACACTCTCAGAATTGTGTTTCTGGCAGATGCAGAGTTTTGTTTCGTGGGATTTCGCGTGGACAGGATTTTGTTAAAAATTATTGGAGGCACGATAATAATCATGAATTTTGCTTTAACGATTATTGCAGCAACGTAAATAAGCGGAAATATAAACAGGATGAATAGGACTGCAAACATTGAGAAGAGAAAGCAACAAACAAATTATTAAATACACAGTCAATGGAACATTATATTAAACTACTAAATCATTCGTTACATTAAAATAATTAGATTCCCATTAATTCAAAATATTTAATTATAATCAAAGCACCACACACAAATCATAAATAATTTAAATTTTTTTTCTCGTTCAAATTAATAAATTCACTAATTTCCATCAATTTTCCGTACCGAAAAATCGCACATATTCGCAGCCATCAGTCGGATATTCGTAATAATCATTTTGAGTTCAGAAAATTTAATTAAAATTTAAATTTCGAGCTAAAACTTCGGGACAACTTTACATATTATGGTAAATGGAAGCCAGGCAGTTTTGTCCCAAAATGGAATATCTAATAAAGCCGGTTCACATAAAACAGATACTGTTACAACACAGGATTTCGGTTGCAGTAAGTGCACCAACTGGAAAACTTTAATAATCATTTCGGATAAGGTTTTGTTCTTGATTGTTTTTTCACAATTCTTGATAGCACGATACACGCCGCTTTATATTTTCTAAATGAACCCACCTTAGACTTCGTCGTGGTAAAGTGCCATTTGTTAGTCTACATCAGATAAAAGGGTGACTTTTCTCGACGTCGTATATCTAACCAGAAAACAACTAACTTATTTTTCGAAGCACAAAATTTTTATTTTTATTTGAAAGTTTATATCCTAGTTTATAGGCAAACTGGAAATTAATCTGCGAAGAATTATTGCTACAGAAATTGAAAAAAGATTTGAATTTGAGCATAATTACGACAAGATCAGATTGAAACTAATAGAGAATATTTGTCGTTGTCGTTTAGAATGAAGAAATTATATCAATGGACAGTTTATTTTTCTTTAAGGTAAGTAAATCTTGGTTTGAAATTTTGTGATTGGAAAGAGGATGATCTGAGGTCTAGGAAAACTTTGAAGACACAAGCCATTCTAAGATTTTTGATGTAGTCTTTGAAACTTCTGAAGACTCCGAAGTGTATTAGGGCTCATGAATTAAGTCAAAGGGCTCTAAAGTTTTTAAAGCTAATGATCCAACACTAAAAAGATCCTTAATACGTAGAGTTTCCATAAAGGTTTTTCGGAATTCAGGACAAAGGAGTCAAGAAATCCTGACTTCGCCGAATTAGCTATTAAATCATGCAACAAGTGTGTAAAGTGAACCTTTTTCCACGAATGTGAATTTTGACGCACTAGCCGAAGGCGAGTGCTGATAATCACATAAGTAAAAAAGGTGTTTCACGGTCGTTTCCACCAACTATTTTAGGGAAGCCCTAATGATAAGTATTCTTTAAAATGACAGTTTTCTATGGAGAAATGTCAGTTTGAGCTTTGAGATGCTGTGCTTTGAGCTTTAGAAGATTTTGATGTCGTTATATTGACGATATAAAAGGAACAGAAGACTTTTGAGATTGGGAACTTCTTACTTTAAAGCCTCGATTAATTTAAATAATATAAATTTTAAAGACTTCGATGTGTATAGGGCATGTCCATGTGACGTCACAAATGAATTTGACAGTCGCCCTGAGGTAAAACAAATCATTTATTTACATTCGTTTTGATTAGGCCGGTTATGTTTTATGCGGTTTCCACAGCTTTTTCACAAGTTTTGGTGTTATTTTGTTTTAAAAAAGTTAGAGCGGAGTGTTTGTGTTCCAGTCTATGTGGTCTTTCATCTAAAAGTTTGCTAGGATTTTTTATAATGGATTAAATTCAGGTTTTTTCCAACAAATATCAAAACCAAGTGTCACAAGAACAAATATATAAGTATAGTTACTCTATATTCAATCTATTTTTCTGTCAGATCTCTTTTAAGAACATTAATCAATTTTTCTCTTCTCTCTTGAGCTAACAAATCAAATCGCCCATTGTTATTTAAAATTGATGGAAACCTATGGAAGGATATTGTATCTCTTGCGCTATACTGCCATAATTAGCAACTGAAAAAACTGTAGGCATGTCCAAGAAACTTCTGGAGCACACAAAAGGTATTTATTTAAAAAAATCTAACTAAAAACTTAAAAAACACTGTAAATTATATCTTTGTTTTACCTCAAGGCGATTGTCAATAGTGTCAAACTGTCAGATCGTGTACTTGCCCTATTGGGGCTCTAAAGTTCTCAAAAACTTTAAGAGTCTTAAAGTTGATAACCCAAGAGTCTAAAGATCCTGAAGACGTAACAGAGGAATTAGCTTTTGAAGACTTAGCCACGAAGTGGATGAGCAAAGATTCTTGAGATTCGAAACTCCTTGATTTGATGACTCGATGATCAATAGGAGATTGAGACTCCTGCTCTGCACTCCCCCACGAGCGCGACGTTTTCTCTTGGGGTACTGGTCACGTACTGTGGGAAGTAAGCAGAGCATACAACTGAATTCGTTTTTGGACCCTCGGCATCTATGGAGATTTATACCGCAACCAGATCCTTGGTGAAAATTTCTGACATCGGTATGACTGCCACGTTTTTCGAGTAGACGCAGGTCCTGGGTCTTTAAGCGGAGGAGCAGTAATAGACTGTTCCTCCACCTCCTCCCAGGCCCCTGACCACACCCCTGTACACCCAGGGTTCTTGGATCAGTGCTACACATGCGTTAGCCAAAACTATTTTCCTGCCGAGGAGGCCCTCCCATGCTGTCAATTGACCTGTATGAAGTTTACAGGCATTCTTTGTTCTCCTCCACCTGCCCCCGATGCAGGTCCACCTGTTCCTGTTCGGTTTCTTGAGAAGTGGCGTTTATGGGTTCCCTGACATCTGGCAAGTCCATATTCTGTTCCTGGTCAGGTTCCTGATATTCTGGAAATTTCCCTTCTGGCTTGAGTTCGATCAGGTTCCTTGCCGAGCTAGGTACCTCCGATTTGAAGCCTTTATATTATGAGTCAATATGAGATTCGAAACTTCCTGATTTGAAGCCTCTGGAAGACTTCAATACATATATTCAAGAAGCAAGACTCAACTTTCAAAGATGTTCAACAGCCTTTGAAGATTTTAACGAAGTAAAAGGAAGAATGATTTTTGAGATTCGAAATTCCATGATTTGAAGCCTTTGAAAAACTTCAAAAATATTAAAGATCTTGTGATCTTTTGAGATGTTAGAATGAAAACCTAACTGATTTAAGACGCAAGATTGAACCTTCAAAGATGTTTACCAGCCTCTAAAGACTTTGACAAAGTAGAATGAACAAATATTTTTGAGATTCGAAACTCCTTGATTTGAAGCCTTTAAAATATATTACGGGATTATTTTCCCCCCCTCAAGTAAAAGTACTTCATCTAGAAATTTATTACTAAGTTGTCATTTCACCTATACAGTTTTCATTTCGCTATTTTTCAGTACCATCTAACAATAATTGTGGTTATTTACTTAAACATTTCATAGTATTAGCCTATCCAAAACACGTGACTTTGACAAGCAAACAACAGGTTTGTGTGCCTCTTGGCGGACATTTTAATTCAAGTTTGACAGCATCTTGGATAGTCTAATATATTATTACAGATTCCTACACTTGCTTTATAGTACCGATGGTTCTATTACAGATTTCCGTACTACCTTCCTTTGTACCATTACAGTTTCCGCTATTTGGTAGGTAGCAAGCATTCAGTCAGTAGCAGTACCAGTGTCCCCCAATAGATTCTGTGAAAATTCCTCAAGTTTTGGATTGGTACGCCCACGTTTTAATTATTATTATTAAATTAATATAATTGGTAAACAATTTAAATAAGTCTAGTGGATTTTCATCTATTCATTTTTATTCCACGTGGGTTTTCATTGTGAAGTGAATATGATCTTTTGGGTGTACTCGTCTGATTGGTTGAACTGGTTAAAATGCAGTCAAGTATAAAAAAAAACACAGGATCGTTTTCCTGTGGGGTTTGGTTTCTAAAACGTTCTCTTTCCTCGACAGAAGTCTGGCAGGCAAGTCCTCTTTATTTTGAATAATTTTTGCTTTATATTTTTGGATTCTCCCTGATAGATTTTTCAATATATTTTGCTATCAATTCATATTATCATATCATTATTAAGTGTTTACCTGATAAATCTTATCTTATTTGTTCTTGAAATATAAATATTATATTTTAATTTTTTTTTATCTAATTGTGTGCTTCCATTTTGTGTGAGTGCCGATTGGTAGTGCCACGTTTTCCTGAGGTAAGTCAATTCAGACTTTTGGACCTAATAATGTACTGCTGCTCTGGTTTTCAAACTCAATTGTTAGTGTGGGAATATTGGACCATTTGCTCTAAATAGAGTCGGTGAAAACCAAATTTGTGTGTCCATCCCTATCAACTCTTTATTGAATCCAGGCAGAGGCCTGAATATCCATTTTCTGTTTGACTCCGTCAATTATTATTTCGACTAAAGGGTGTAATTTTTTAATAGAAATCCAGACAGGCCAAAAATTCAGCAAAAAGTTTCAATTAAAACATCT